AGGGGAGGTGACTAACCGTTATAGTGTATTCCAGCGTGGTGAATTGTGGCATCAGTTCAGCTGGCAGATTCTGCTCTGTCATGCCAGCGTACTGAGGTGGAAAAGTGTTCCTGCAGGCGCACATACAGCATACCCAGGCTTTAGTTCGTAGATCAACCTAAAAAAACGGGGGGAGATAAATTAGCTGCTGTTGTGGTTAGTTAACACGAAGGACACATTGCCCTTGCACGTTAACCAGAAACTGTGCATAGGAATTCACGTGCACTTGCAGATGTAAGTGCAATGGGCGACAGCGAAGGCAACTGGCAGCCAGAGCTGCTAAGAATTCGCCTAATTGGCTTTTCAAGTTCGTGGCTGGAGCACATCATGGCTGACCTTGTCTTCCGCACCCTCATCTCTATCCACCAGAGCTGTGTCAGATTCTACCAAGTTTCGGACTACGAGTACTAGGAACTGCTGTTAGATGTAGTATGTGAATGCTGAGACAGCTAATACTAGTTGCCATACCCATTATAGCAGTAAATTATATTGTAATGCAAGTTCAATAGAGAGACGGTCCACTAAATGGGAGCCCCGTTATTACTCACCTTTCGGTTGAGCATGCTTTGCGTGCGCGCATGTGGATATAGTACACAGTGGGCTTCCTATACTAAGTAGTTAGGCCAGATAAACTTTTTGTCCTAGGTCTCACCGCTTGGCGCTTACCACTTGCGGACTTCTGCAACATTACCCTAGTATATTTTGGTCCAAGTTTTGCAATAGAATCAGCCTAGTAGATGCTGTCGTGATACTATACGATGCTACATCTACTGCTGCTACCGATATTTACTTACAACTCTGCGGCAACTGCATGTGCCGTTGAGAAGCCAGATTACCTGCCAGGGCATGTAGGGTTTACGTTAATCACGGTAGGGAGAGGAATATATGGTCCCTGCGTTTAACTTGCAATAGCCGGTCAAGCATCTCAGCTATCATCCTTTAGTTGCATCTTGTTGGAACACATGTGGACGCGAAATCGGATAGTTTGTCGGGCCGTATCTTGACTTTCTACAGTATCTAGATTTGTTCAGAATTTAGAAAGCATCATCTGTCTATTGGAAAGCCAACTTGTCGACAATCAACTAGTCATGAAAGCTTAGTAATTCGCTAGTCCTAAGCTACTACTACTAATATGATAGATGATGCGACGCTTTTGAGAATCGGCGCAATCTACCACCTTGATTCGGTGAGGCAAGTAAACAACGTGCGAGTTGACTAAGCAAAAATGAACAAATACTTTGGATTGCATGCTGAAACTTAACAAGATAGGCGATCGGCAGCCCAATTCACTTCAGCAAACCATTATCTCCTTAGGCCTTGATAGTAAAATAGTTGCTAAACAGACGATCGCCGCAAGAGTAATATCACAACTATAAGCCACTGAACATGGCAACCTATATGTGAATTATATTGCGTGGTCTCAAATTCTCACCTGGAAATTATTATATACAGGAAAGGAATTTGGCCGACCAGACCTTTACCAAAGTATTTGCGTGCTACTTTCAGATTTAAAAAGGCCTGGTTACCATAAACACAAAAATAAAGAGGAGCCATTGAAATCCGATTCTCGATTTTATGGCCGGGATTTTTTCATTGGACGTCAAGCATCCGAGTCACGAACATTTCTTTCCCCGTGGTAGTTTTATTTTGCACCAGGCTGGTTACAACGAGTTAGGAAAGTTTGCAAAAGGCTACCTCTTTCTTGTATTTAGTTCCCATCATCTAGTTTTATCAGCGCTGACTCAACCGGTTGCAGTTGCCGGTACTTCGAGACTACTACACGAAGCAAGCCTTGCTCAGACACTTGAAAAAGGTCGAAGTTTAGGTCTGACAAAAGAGCAAATCACGTGTTAGGAAATACCTGGCAAAAGGGATTCAGAATAGCACGACATCGGGAGCAGACCACGGGATCATACATGACAGGCGGAAAGTCGGCACGCTCCTTCATGGGTGTGTAGAGACAGGAAACCGGGACAATGAGCTGAGCAGCGTCGAGACGGGATGCTGGCCAAACGTTCCATGAAAAACGAATGCCGTCGTTGGCCTCCGTTTGTTGTATATACTCGCTCATAGTCGCCATGGTGGCGCACCTAGATGGAAAACAACGATTCAGAGCTATAACTTACTATGCGTGAGACTATATGTGGTGACAGAGGCTTGGGTGCGTAAGTCCACTTGACACTTACACAGAAAGAGGCAGTCGGTTCTGCAACTAACTTCGGGATTATAAGGTGACCAAGACCGATCGTGTGGTTTTTTAAAGTAAAATCAAATATGGCGAGGAACGTTCAGTGAAAGTATAATTAAAATAATCTCCGAACGATGTACACGTTTGTAAGTCTTGCTGTGACAGAACATCGTAGCTTCAGGAGTGCAATCTATCAACCTTTGCTCTTTTCTTGAAAAAAATCCAGTGGGTCTTTTGATTATCTAGCGCGAAGAAACGTTTTAGGCAGTCAGGAAAAGATTAAGGTGGGGTAAAAATGTCTACCTTAACGCATAAGGTCTTTGTGGGGGAGATTTGAAAAGTAGGACCTTGAAATAGGCTAAAAGAACAACGCTCTCTTTCAGTCAGATATTCTAGACTGTTTTTTAAAGTAACATCAGTTAAATGTCCCAGTTGTATAAATGGGTGGCAACCGTCATCGTTCAGCTCCTATCGAAAAACTAGTATTGGGACAGAGTCAGCAGCGGCCAATATCGGCTGGGAGTGAATCGGTGCCTGTTAGATGTGTGGCACTGGATCATTTAGTGACAATCGATTAGAAGTCCGCTCGTAAGTACAATCAAGGATCCAAGTCCCTGTAAAATCAATTGACCAAGCAGAAAATTATATGCTTGTGTGACGTGAAAGAGAGAATAAACCAAATATCTGCCTTTGTAGCCGTTTCTTATTTTTTGCATGCGGAAACCGCTTGTGCAACTTGCCTGAAGTTCCCCGTTAATGTCTGCATGAAACGAATTGTTTCATCATTCCCTTCAAGCGTCTTTGAGTTCTTAGTTATAAATAACGGGGGTCGTCCTGAACGTGGTTTATCCTTATAAAATTCACTGGTAAAGGCATTTTTAACCTCTGTGCATTTCGTTATTTTGGCACAGTGCTAATTGCTACGCATGTGATAAGACACCCTTTTTCAGCACTTAGATAAATAGTCCATTATATATAACGGACAGTTAAAATGGAAGAAACACACATTTAAAGAGCTACTTAAGGGCAAGACTTCATCTAACAGTTAAAGCATACAAAAAACACAAAAACACGAGATTTAACGACTTAAAGCATCAGACATTAACGAAAACCGCAGGAACTTTCTGAACGCCTAAAATTTTTGGACAGAACGAACGTGAAGCTAACATGCAAAGGAAAAAAAATTGGCCGGAGTTCCATAAACCCAGTATGATTAATGAAGATAAGATAAAACCATTCAGGAAAAGTAAGTTTAGCAGTACAATGCCTTTTTTGTTACAAATAGTGAAAGTGCAATGATCATAAAAGCAATAAAATAAAAAGCAACTTAAGCAGAGGTTAGTAGCTACGGGAAATGGGAGAGTAGCAGACTTCGACATTGAAAATTTGGCTGCGTTCATCACATATTAAGCAAGAACGCTGCTTTTTCGTCCAGATGAGAGGTCTCGGAGCTAAATATCACAAATCTTAATGATTCCCATCACCAGCAGTGAAGTGCGGATAACAATTTAACCCGTTCTACATGGCGGTTGTAGGAAGTTTTCGCTGGGAGTATTTAGGCGTCACTTAGTCCGAGGAGCATTAGAGCGGTCATGGAATGACTTGGGACTACGGGAAAACTGGCGGCAGCGGTAATACCCAGTATTAAGTGTCCATATTTATGGACTCATTATTATCAACAGGAAGTTACTATGAACGGATACCTTACTAGTTACTGTTTCATGGGAGGCAACAAGACTAAATCCATAGCTATCGCTTCATTAAGACACGATGTCGTTCTATAAGTGTAAATAAATTGCTAGAAATGCGCAAAAGATGCCAGGAAATATACCTGAAGGGTGAGCCCACTTTTAAAAGCGTTTCTTATTCTATAGCTATAGATGCTTTTAGTTCAGCCGATCCCACAAGCGGATCGTAAGACTCAAAAACAGACAAAAACCCATTAAGACCAGAAGCAATTTCCCCTGAGATCGACCGGACGATCTTGTAGGAGGGAACCCTGCCTACTTTTTTCTTTAAAGAAAACGACGCAGTCTACGTCTGCTCATTTTCTTTTAGCATCCTTTAAACAACCTAGCAGCGGAAGACGTAACTTGCAAAAATAAGTCCGGTCTCTGGCTTTTAGAAAATGCAGTTGACAGGCAGAAAGTCGGAGAAGAAAAGTAAGACATTTAATCAGAAACAACTGAACAATTTTGCTAGCCCGGCCACAGACCCATTTGAAAACACCAGATAAAATTTAATAAATGCACCGGTGATGGTTACTAATTGCTCCGTTGGTCGGGTTTAGGGACGCAAATGTTGTAAAAAATAAATAACTTATGAATTTATTATTGATTCCCTAGTACAATCTTTGCTACTGTACAGTGGAACACTCAGAAGAATCGAGTGGTAGGTAGTGGCGTGAAACTTACGCATGGATAACCCTTAGCGGTTACGACGGTTAAAAAGGTACGAACAATTAGACCATAGGAAGGAGATGCGAATAGGAAAAACTAAAAACGGAGATCCAGAAAAAAACTGGGACCAAAAAACGTCAACGAAAAAAAAAACGATGGAATACGGCGCGTATTAAAAACGACCAAATCTGCTGGAGCATGGAAAAGTGGCAGCAAAGGGTATCAGGTATTAAAGGGTCACAAACCTCAAATCGGGAAGGGCAACGGACTATAGACTTGTGAGGCTACCGGTTATCAATTTTATTCTGGCCTGTACCATTGTGCGCAACCTCGATGTCCACACGTATTTAAACCGAGCATTGGATGGCCCGCATTCGGGGTACAATATGGCCTTTCTAGTTTGTCTGCTGCATTCTCTGATCAGAGAATGCAGATACGACAAAGTCAAGACAATTTATCCTTCAAAATTGTTTATCTTATTCACGGCCTTAAATATTTTACGGGGTTTTGCTTTACTGCTTGTGTTTACTTGTCTCTGTAGTCGTTTATGAGGTTGGATTCAGAAAGGAGCAAACAAATTTTGATACCAGACATATGTCACCTCTGTGAGCAGCATTCAAGGTGCGACTTACTAAGGGTGGTGTATATTATATTGTTGGGGATAAAAACACACAATAAAAGCAAATAGTGAACGTTAGAAACTATGAAAAGGCAACTTGCGACGTGAGACTTACGTGTACGTTGAAAAATTCCGTGGAAGGCGCTTTTATTTAAAGTTCAGTTAAACTACATGTAAAAGTCACAGGTAGCAATAATCTCTATCGAAAGATCCGAGTTTACAGATCTCTCCGTTTTTAATTATGTTAAAAATTTGCCTTGGGAAATTGTTAACCTAGCCTGAGAACATGAGAGTTTAATAGAAGTTGACAAGACGGGAGAAAATGGATTAAACAGCGTGACTGACTATAGCATTCTAACAGTTGAAAGTAAATCAAAAGAGCCGGACGCTAAACAAATGTAGAAAAAAGCAGCGGTTTACAGTGGCGAAATCTATGCCACCACCAGGCAATCGAATAAAACACAACCGTACTGCCGATGCGGAAAAAATCTTAAAACAAACTTACATTTTCCGCAACCTAGATTGGTTTTTCAGTTTGTGGTAAGCTGACATTGTGCAAAATTGGGAGTTTGCTTTAAGTAGCCGTAAGACAAAATACGTTTTTTCTCACTAAATCCTCATTTTCTTTGAAGATGGCCTCTTGTACGAGGCCGAAAGTTCAGACGAATACAACTGCTCCTTCCTTCCTTTTTCCACGATCTTCTACGGGCCGTTGAGGTTGAGGATCTGGTTAATCCAATACCAGCTGATGATCAAAATACGCGGTTAAAGGGCGCTGTAGCTCATCGTGTGGCCAAATCGGCCAACTGATTGCGGAATGGACTGTTCAAACAGGTTGAGCTCGGCGACCAGACGCCTTCGCAACTTATTTTGGATTTGGAATTTGCATCCTATGCGTTCTCTACCCGCTGGCCGTCAAATTGATGACACAATTTTTCGCGAAATCTTGCTAGATAGATCTTTGTCATGCTGGATATGAGCACAACACTTAATAAACTGGACACCCACGTGGACCGTATCAATGAATGTTACCCTACTGGTGCTGCTTGTTCAACCATTCAGCAGGTAACGGACACTTCTCCGTTAGAGGGCCCGTCAGTTACCATGACAGTGGCCATATGCCCTAACTGGACGACCCATATCCGACCTCGTCAACCCATTTCTGCGCATCTTACCAGTCTGCTCCATCTTCCAGTCTCTCACGGGGAATATGTAACTCACAACGCAACGAGTTAGAAGACTTTAACGACGCTGTTCTTCTGTTGTGCTGCGAGTGTTCATAAACAAATATATATATATATGCCTGTTTATGGTTCTAGTTATCAGTGCGGTAAAAAAATATTACAGCCAAAAAAGTTTATTACTATTTTCATGCCACAAATCGTTTAATGTTTGCCAAACATAATTTTTCCAAACGAAGCTGTCGAATGAGTGATTGTCTACTAAAAACGGTGCCCAAAGTCAGAAATCAGGTAAACCCAATTAAGTTGGACTGCGTACTGTAAAAAGGAGCTAACAAAGGGTTCTGCAGAAACAAGCTGCTCACAGTTCATATGCTAATTGATGTGTGTTTCTGCGCGCAGGATTAGAAGCAAGTCAGTCCAGCTCTTGGTTGCGTCAGCCAATCAGAAAAAGGGGCACAGTGGCCTCAAGCTCGCTAGGCAAAAGAGCCAAGACGTGAAGCATCAACCCGACCGACAGGCAGAAAATTCGGAGGTGACCGACACGACGCGCAAGGTGAAAGTGCCACGAGGCTTGCCAGCCGAAAAATATGGTCTGCCAGTGATAGTGGCGCTGATCCCAGGAGCACCACAAATCCGTCCTTCTGTTTCAGAACATAATGCGATTTCTCATAAATGTGTTCACGAATTTTCAGGAACGCAAAACACACTTTCCGTTGTCTAAACATGCGTAATTTAAACTTTTCTGCCTCATTAGAGTTAGTTTATGGAATAGCAAATATAATCAAGTGTTTTTGATTCACATTGGTTAAGAACGGTTGAATATTGGTCAGTTCAACGCACTTTATCATTCAATACCTTAAACTGAAGTCAGCACTTCTTTCATAAACAGCATTTTGCGTCTCAAATAAATTTAACGGACAAAATTAACCACCTCATGTGTGTGTTAAACTACCCTCTCACATTTTGATCTCGACATTTCATAAGTTAGACAATCTGTTGTATGACCGGATAAGTTAACTGGTTTAGTGGTGCATTCAAGTAAAGGAAAACGAAAGAGGACATAACCCGGTACCGTGGAAAGCACAACATATAATGAGGTTCTTAGTTGAAAGTGAGGACTCTGCAAAGACCGTAAGTTTCCGATTAGAGGGATAGCGCATCAAGAGGTCAATAAAGGTCTGAGAATTCCTGGAGCCTCCAAGTTACCTAAGACTAATCTAGGGAACATTTGTCAAATAATTTATTGAGACCGACCTAAAGAACGAAGACAAATGGATGATTATCACAAAAAACATGAGTAGATTCAGAAAAGGTATATAGACTTGAAGCAAAATTAATTAAAATAACTTATCTGCACAGAACATTCACTGTTACTCAGTTGAGATTTTGGGTCTAGTCTCAGGGCCGCTGATTGGCGGTCGTTCTTTAATGCGTGTAATGCAACCTTAA